TTTCTAACTTTGTTATCTAATATGAGTCATAATTTAATAAACATTTTGTAAAATATTTTTTGATTTATTTATAAACAACCTTAGGTGTCCGCCAATAGGGGACTTCTCTCTACCAATTTTTTTTTTTACGTTCACTGTTATACGACTGTCAACATCGTAAAAAACTATAATTGGTTTTGCTATATGTATCTTCATGCTTTTTATATAATATTTATTTTTTATTGGCTTATTGTCAAGTACAGTTACGTAATAAAATATTGGCGACATGCATTATAATAGCATATTTATAATATAATATATACATGATACATGTATGTCTAAATGTATAAAATAGTATTAACCTAATACATATAATAGACGATGAAATTATCTGTGATGCTTTCAATACCATAGGCATAAATATTTAATTAAGCATATAGATAATCTTTATTTTCTAAATGCACTCTATCGAAGTAGCATAATCGTTTCCAATATACTAAATATTCTTGATGAATATCTAAAAAAGTTATTTAAAACAGAAAGATCAGTAATATAGACTCTATAATAAATTCTCACTCTAAAAGAAAACGAAACTGAGTTGAAACATCTTGGATGATTGCACTGTTTTCCACATATGTAAATCTTTTATAGCAAGCAGCAAAAGTTCTAAATGAAGTCCTTGTGGAACTCCGAAAGTTGCTTCGTATTATCTAGATCTATGATGATGTCCATTTATTATTGCTTCCAGTTTTCGGTCAAGTAAATATGATCCCAGGTATTCCAATGCTCTGCTTTCAACATCGTATTAATAAAGTTTGCAAATTAATATACAATTATGATTATCAAAATGAAAAGCTTTACATATACTGTCTTAAACTACGTACTAATCATATCGTGTGTTTAATAGTTTATTAATATGCTCTACAAATAGAGTAAAACTAGACGTTGTAACCCGTTTCAAAGCATACATCCTGATTTGTGTAAATAGCATTTTTAAATTATTGTGATAAGAAATGCTTATAAACTCATTCAAATTTTTGAAAAATAACGTTTTTTAAATAAAGGTTTACATAAAATCTGTTTCATCTGAATTACAAATACCACTAACTCCAAGGTGTTAAATAAATATTATTCATAATTCAGTTATTATTTGAATTAATCTGCAAAGTTAGTAATTAAAGAGGCAATTGACTTTAAAAACCAAAAATAGCAAAATAAAATAGTTAAATACAGGAGTTAAATGCCTTTGCCTAATTTTGTTTGTATTCTTCAAACAATTTGCTTTATGTAGGGTAGGGTAGAGCACAAGAACCAATTTTACTTTGAGCATTATATTGTGATAACCAAACCAATTATATCACAATAAATAACATATATCAAGCAAACAACTATGTGACTCAGTAAAATTCCCAGGCGGATGACCCCTTTTACCCCATAGGCGAATTAATTGGGACAGCCAAGAGGCAAGCTGGTGCAATGTGTTATTTTAATTTTATAGGGTCTAATGTTTATTTTAATTTCATGAAATAATAGCTACAATATTCAACAAATGTAAAATATAAATTTTACGGGAACATTTTTTTAAGATAACACTGTAAATGAACTTGATCTGGCATTTTGTCAGAAATATTCATCATCAAAGTTGATAGGAATAACTATTTGTTTTTTGAATCATTCAAATCGGATGTTCTGTTTTTTTTAAAAAAAAACTGAATTACAATTTTTGGCACTTTTTGCCTAGTATCTTTTAAACAGCCATCCTGCCTTCGCCAAAAACTAATAAGCACGTCTCCTTTTCAATTTTTTTAAATCATTCGATCCTTGTTCTCGAAATCGTCGACTAAAAATTGTATCCGCTCACACATACACACATTTATCCATTCTGTCTAAGGTATGGCAAAATGTTCAGAAACCTCTGAAACTTAGATATATATAAAAAAAATACTTTTGATTTTTTGCGATTACTTACTATAACCTACCCTACGATAAGCTAAAAAAGTAGAAGTTGAATTTATCTCTTGTAAAATTGCTTTTTTAACTTTGTTTAACTTAATTTACTTTTTATTTGCTATTTATTATTTTTTACACCTGTGGGGGTAAAGATTCAGTTAGTCCTTTTTACCTTATAGAGGTCATATAAAAAAACTATTAAAAATTATACTAAGGTCTCGTAAAATAAGCAACACACACAGCTCACAGCAAAAACAAATAACAAGGAAAGAAAATAATTTTGTCATGGATTTTCAAACATTGCCGTTTATCTCCAGAACGTCAAAAGAGCCATCACGGCTGGTTAAACATCTTTTTTCTACTTTCAAATATTGTTAAAATACTTTACTTGTTCTTGAAATAGCGGTGGTGGACCTTTTTACTCGCGGACATTTAAGCCGCGCTCTACTCTCTATATATTTCTATTCTATGCATTGTAAAATGCAATAAAGTTATTATTATTAATAAGTGTGTAGAAGTGATGAAATACGTACATATTAAGAATTTTTAAACGATGAATGCTTATGTGTCATTATATTATAGAATTTCAATTGAATATTTTGGAAATCATCATCATTGCATTCTTATGCGATTATTCAATAGATTGATATGAATCTATTCTTCATGCAAATTATGTTGATATTTATAATATATTTGAACGGATATCAAGTCTGAAAAGTTGATGCTATTTATGCAGAAATTATATATATATATATATATATATATATATATATATATATATATATAATATTGTATGTACATGTAATTTCAGATCTATTGTTCGGCATGCTTCAGTTCTATTGTCTTTTTCGTTGTTTACAAAATACTGCAAATTATTGAGTCTGGTGTATATTTTTGAGCATTCGATTGCATTGTTTAAAAATATAATTTTCATAAACATTCCTTTCTCAAAAATTTGTAGTGGATTTGACTATTTTTACAAACAATATTTTTTATACTTTTATTGATCGATGAAGATTATTATTATTTATCTAATACAGAAACCTGTTAACTACCAAATTTATGACATGAAGTGCGAGTTATCACTAGACTTATGAATTATGACTTTATCCTAATCATTAATACTACTACTCTCCTGTATAATTTCGAATGTGAACAAGAACCTAAAAAGCTATTTCAAAATGTACTAAAATGCAAATAAACTACAACCATGATTATGCAGTATGAAATATAGAAAAATGCGCGATAGCAAAATATATAATTTAAACTGGTCTTTCAAGTAAAAAGCCATTTACAATCAATCAAATATTATTCTACAAAATGCAGCGAAATTTTAAAAAACTATTACATTTTTCGACATTTGACTTCGACAAAATCCGTGGAGCACCAAATAGGCTGTTAGCATTGGTTTTGACTGTTAGCATTTGCTATTTCTATCGTATCTGAAAGTAATATATTTTCTAGTAAAATTGCCATATAAAGATATATCCCCATTATTGATTGCCTCAACTAACTTAAAGTCTAGTCTAGACTTACAATTACTACGGATTATTAAATTATGGTAATCCCGATGAGATTTAAATATCTTTTACGAGCAATTACAATAATCCAGTATTTCTCATTGATGATAACACGATATATAAATTGTAACCAATCAGAAATACAATGTAATTATTTATTGGATTACAATAGATGTTATTGTTAGTATACCCAATCTGAATCCCTTTAACTTCTCTTAGCATAAATACAGATTCTGGGTATGTACCATCAGGTCAGTTTTAGTAAGCCAATATCGAATCTGAGTGAGAATTTCCAAGCAATAAATTAAACAAACCTACATACAGTATTCCTTAAAACTCAAAAATCGAGGAGAAACCACGGGCATGGGTAAATCGGCTTTCTAAAGTTAGTAGCTGTCGGTCATACATTTGAACGCGATTGGGGCACTCTAAATAGGTCAAAATAGAATTTTCCAAATTTCAACCCTTATTTTTGGGTCATTGCACGGGACATCAGAATTCATTTTAGAGGTATAGTTTCTTCAGCAAAGTATCTTATTTTGATCCCTTGTATCCGAAAATCATGTGTGCCTAAGGGACTTTTTAGACCCATACAAATCGACCCGCTCTAATATATATATATATATATTTTTGAATAGTCTTGAATTTGATGTTGATATATATGTTTAATTTGAGTTTAATAATCGGGCGTTACGCCCGATTATTAAACTCAAATTAAACATATATATATATATATATATATATATATATATAAATATATATATATATATATATATAAATATATATATATATATATATATATATACATGTTTAAAAGATAACTACTATTCTTGTGCATTTCTTTAAGCATTCTGGACATCACTAAGCCAAAGTCTGAAGATTTATTATTCTTCAGATTACCAATTTCTTTATCATCTTCATAAAAAAATAATTTTATACTGCTTTTCAAGTAGTGTAAAGGAAATATAGAGGAAGAAGAAATAGCTGCAATAGAAATCTAAGTTCGGTTAGAAAACTGATCTCATATGTTGAGCAATTAGATAGAATTTCTCACTCCTTGCCCGAATAGTTGATTACTCTCATTCCATCAAACAGACGTTATATTAGAGTATAAAGAGATTTTTCTTCACTTTGAAGCTTATGTAACTATCGATGAAAAATTTGACGAAACTTATTTTTGATTAATAAAAATGAAAATAGCTTGGTTTTGTTAAATATTATATCGCCCGAACCAACTGTTGACGTAATCTCATTCAAAAAATTGTACATCATAACTTGTAGTGTAGGATACAAATATAAAATCGATTTTAAAAAATAATTGGTACATACAAACATGATACAATAAATATTATAAATATTTTTACTAAAAAAACTTCTTATGTATTAAATTTATAATGATAAAAATACAGGAGCATTGAAGGTTCAATAATACAAGAAGTTCAATAATAAAATCGCATACAGTTGTAATTTATATGTATTTATTAGAAAATTGTTATTTCGAATATCATAAGAAGTTTAATAAACAAAAGTTTCGCCATAATTTTCATATCATCACAATTCTTTATATGTTGCTTCACTTGTCCAATTCTGTTTAGTCAACAAAAATAGTTTATCAGGAACGGGAATATTAGAAAGAAGAGCACGTATTGCTGTAGTGTTTCCTGCTGCAACTGCTCCATTTAAAGTAACACCAAGCATAGCAGCCACCGCAAATCCTGCTGCGAAACAATCACCTGCTCCAGAAGTGTTGGCCAAGAGCGAGTTGGCAGGTAATTGCGCCTAGATTAATGCAATTATAAATACATAGAATTAATATATACTTTAGATAATAGTTAATATAATAATACAATTAAAATTACGGACAAATTAATTCTTCTACTACTACTTGTGAATGTAGTTATATAAAATCAGAAACAATTTTTGCATTTATTTTAGTTCATTACTTCCCAACTGTTATTAATTATTTAATATAAAGTAGATAATACAATGATTTTTTAAATATTGTGTTTAGTTTTTGTGAATTTGATTCAAGAGTTTTAACAAACATGTCTTCTATATCAAATAACATTCAGAATTCTATATAAATCAAGTCTTACAGGTGGATATAATCGAACAGATATTTTTTTATCAGTTTTGTGTCCTGGTTTTATATAGACACCGCTGTCGTCAAATAGCCTTTCAGAGTTGTCACACAATCTGGCGATTGCAACACCTTTATCTCCTAAAGTCACTACAAGAACATCAACAATGTTCTCGAAGATCAGAGTAGAACATAATGATTTAAGTTCTGCCAACAAGTTTTTGTCTGCCACCTGCAAATAACAGTTAGTAATAATATTAAAACAAAATAGTTATTTTTAAATAAACCAACATCGTATAAAAGAACAAAGTTATATATTATATTGGGTTGTGTTATATATTACATTTAGATTGTTATATATTTCATTTTGACTAGTTATTTTCGTACGATAAATTATATATTAGCCGTTTCAGTCGAACATCTTTTGTTATATTTCTTATTGGTAAAAAACTGATCAAAGTGCTTTTTAACTTCATTTAAGTTGAAAGTTTTACCGTCTACTTTTTTTCAGTGACTACGGCAAATAATAGTCCGATGATGCCAACCCAAGAGAATATGGTGGCTGTCGGATTGTGTCCTATTTAAGCTGTAAAAGCTTTTTGCGATTGACCAAACTTATGTGAGGTCACGCGTCGTCTTGATGCAATATTACACCTTAAAAGTAAGAAGGTAGTAAGAAAGTAAGTAGGTATCCGAATAAACCATTATGCTGCGTTGAAAAATGTGAAAAACAACCAACTATCTCACTAAATATATAGCATCACCTGTCCCTGGTAAATATCGGTTTTGTATTTATCCCATTTGTCCTAGTGATAATTCGCCTCAAAACTGATCATCTTCATGATGTTTCAGAAGGGAATCGAAGACGACAATGTGGCGACAAAGGTTTCTCTCTATAAGAACCTGGAAAACTTATGAGTTTCTCGGAAAATCTTTGACCTTTCAAGTGGTCATGAACAGTTAAATTTGATAAATTTAAACTCAATATGTTGTTATTCGCCGGTTTGCATCAAATGATGCCTTTTTCGTCTTATTCGTTCTTCATGAACGCGCATCCTCAAAATCAATTTTCGAATCGAAATTTAACAAAACAGTTCTGGCACTGTCATTTTTCTATACATAAATTTTTAACTTTATACGCAGTAAAACAGTAACTTATGTCAAAATGCTGCTTATTCTTTCCATATTTAAAGAAACACAATCCAAAAATCACTACATATAATTGATTAAAATTTTATATACAGGCCTCAATACAAAAGCTTTCAAATCATATAATAATTTTAGGGTGTGATAAAAAAATGCAAATAAATCCTATGTGGTAAGATACTTAAGATAGTATTGTATACCACATTGTATGTGGTATACAATTAAATCCTAGTAGAAAAATGAAATTACTTTTTGAACAACCTTATACTATATTTTTATATTATTTAATGCAATACAATATATCTACATCAGTATTTTACATATAAACAAACCAAGAAAGAATATTAGATAACTGGATCTTTGTGATGCGCATGTTATAACACATGGTTTTATGTGTGAAACGCCTGATCATACAGCAATTAGACAGACATTTTCACAGTTTTTACTACCAACAAAATTAGTTTGATTGAAGATCATCATGAATATTAAAAAGCAGTTCAGAGAAGAAGTTTGCAAGATATATATATATATATATATATATATATACTATTTGATTCATTTTCCCACTTACATTTTCGACCAGGCTATTCCCCATTATTGCAGCAGCCATTGCCCGCAGTTCGGCCATATTGGGAGTGCAGAATGCCAGTGGTTCCGGTAATGAAAATTCAAGAATTCTACTCGCTTTCCTCATATCCGTAGGTTCATAGAACACTAATCATACATAACATATTAAAAGTAAATTCGAAATAAGAATTCAACACAACATTCAAAATAATGATCAATTTAAATTTAAACATTTAACTATAGAAATTGAAAAAAAAGAAGACTAAAAATATTTATTCTTGGTAAAAGAATGTTACTGCCTAATGTTTTTACTAATATTATTTTCAACCACATTGTAGCTCTATATTAAATACAGTCATCAAAATGAGTTAAGTGTTAAAGTCAAGCAGGGAGTTGTTTCCTTGTAGCGTTGAATAACTAGGGATTAAAAATGAACAATACAAGGGTGAGCTGAAAAGTTTCCGACCTAACAACGATACAATATTTTTTTCCTTTTTAAATAAGGAAATAACAAGAAGTAGCTTGGTGCTACTGGCAGATCTAGTGAGTGAAGTGGATGGTCCAATAAGTTCAAATCGTAACTGGTGGATTTTTGCCATGGCAAAGACAACACATTGTTTTGGTAAAACGGGCTTTTCTTTTCCTGCAAATGTGATCATTTTGCCTTTTGCTCGTCAAGTAATGGTGCGTAGTATGCTTTCCTATTGCTTTTTCCTTTTTGAAGATAATCGATTAAAATATCTCCATGACTATCCCAAAATACAGAATACATTACACTCCCAGCCAAAACAACTGTTTTTGTTCTTTTTGTAGCTGTTTCCCCCTTTGTAGTCCACTGTTTTGACTGTAGCTTTGTTTTAGGCGTATAATGGTGAATCCAAGAATTATCTACAGCCTTAAGAGCGTTGAAAATGTTTATTCGAACATGTCTATCTTGGGAAAACGCGGCAGCCAAAGCGCGGACGGCTTTCTCATGTATAACTTACCTTTTAATATTTGAAAAACACATTTTTTAGATATCTTCATTTTTTCTGGTATTTTCCACACTTTGATTCGGCGTTTGTCTAACTTCATTTTGTGAACTTTAGCAATGTTATATTCAGAAGTTGAAGTTTTTGGACGTCATGAACGATCATCGTTTACCAAGCTTTTACGGCCACGTTTAAACTCAACTCCAAAAATTTTATTGTGGAAAATGATGGTGCAGAGGTACCACACATAACACAAGATGTCTTTTATTTGCCTATCCGTACAGCCTTTCAAAAACAAATATTTAATAACAGCTCAATATTCAATTTTTTCTATTTTCACGAAAACACTTACATGTACTTACTCAAACGGCTATCGATTGAAAACGGAGCGCCCAAAATGACCAAAAATTTGGCGAGTAACTTCTAAAAGATGCACAACTTCATTTAACAGTTTTTATTGACGAGTAGCACCTTTTTCGTGTTGATATCGGAAATTTTTCAGCCCACCCTCGTATTTCAGTTTTAACAAAACTTCAACAATTAATTTCACACTTTATAATCCAAGCTTTGAAAAGTAAAGAAAATTAACTTAATCCCTTAAAGGCAAAGTTCTGGAACTCACTGATTGATAAATATAACATACAAAATTATCAACATGACTACGCTTGGCATCGTGTCTTAAGGCAAATTGCTGGAACTTAAAAACTTAAAAAAATACATTTTTGAATAGTTCGAAATTTTTTCATAGCGTTTGCGTTGCGTAGCTATTTTAGAGACAAAATATCGAAACGCGTAGGCGCTGCGTTGCAGTCTAACGCATGAACATTAGGAACCTATAGAAATGTAAATAAAATTTGTACTTACTTTTAAAATCTCTATAAAATATATAATAATTTGATGTGCATATGTCTAAGGATCATTTTTGACCCCCAAAACAATATTTGAAGGTTTCTGAACACTTTGCCATACCTGAGAAAAAATGAATGTGTTCGTGTGTGTGTTTGTATGTCCGCATTTTCAACCGATTTGAATGGTTCAAAAAACATTCGATTCCCTATCGATAGGATAGGGAGATGTGCTGATTTTAATTAGTTTTTATCAAAGGCAGGCCCAGCCATTACGGAGATACAGAGCAAAGATTGCAGAAAAAATAAATCGAGATTTTGAGAGAACGGAGCATACGATCCGGTTTAAATGATCTAAAAAACATTCAATTCGTAATGCTCTCGGGGAAGTGGTGGTAAGTTTTTGGCATAGGTAGGTGCAGAGGTTTCGAAGATACGAAGCTAAATGTACAACAAATTACAGTTTTTGAGAGGACTAAGCATCCGATTTGAATAATTAAAAAAACTTTCTGCTTGTGTTGACGAAACATTTGTTTTAAAAAAAATTTTTTGTATATCGAACATAATTCAGATTTTAATTTTAATTCTCGCTAAAGTTCTAAAGCTCACTTATATACTTTAAAATTTAAAGTATTGAAAAGTTAAAATTATTTATTTAAAGTTTAAATAAATAATTTTAACTTTTCAATTCAGTTTATATAATTCTTATAAGTATAAGAATTATAAGTAACTTATAAGTATAAGGCAATGTTACAGTATTTTTTTATAATAAACTATTTGAAAACGTTTAATATTCTTCGAACATTTCGTTACAGTACGAAAAGTTCCAGCAATTTGCCTTAAGGCACGATGCATAAGCCATTAGTTACTTTTTTTATAGGATCCCCGACAGCTAAACCTGTCTTCCCAAAAATGCAATTTTTCTCATTTTGTCAATACAAGTAAAATGTTTTTGAATTATTCAAAACATACATATATACACATACATAATATACACATACATACACATACATACACATACAAGCACAGACATGCTTCTAATTTTTCTATGAAATGCCAAAAAGATTTATAATGTTTAACCGTTAGACTGTTCTAAGTTCTTCCCTTATTTTCAAATTTTCTAAAATTGTTGAGACTTTTAAAAATTTGAAATTACGGTAGACAGTTTACAGTTTTCCTTATAACACGATGGCATGCACCACCAGTTACATATTTATTAATATTATTTTAATATGTTATATCATTGTAATGTATTTGCGCGTAGAAATTTACATTAAATTTTAAATCATCTCGGTTAGAGATGTTTTACATCGAATGATCGAAAAATGTAGTCGTGTTTCATGCACTATTCCGTGACAACGCCCGGCCGACTTCAGTCCTGTCTGCACCGTGGCACGGTTACGAACGATCAAAATAATAGTGTTAAAATAAAATAGTTTCGCTTTCTTTATAAAATGCCAAAGACAAAAACTGGAAAATTTGCAGTGGGTTTCACGGCAGTGGGTTTTCTATTTGTGCTAATAGCTTTCGTATCACCATACTGGTTGCAGGCTGATAAAAAAATAAGAAATCCGAAATTTCAGAAGATAGGTGAGTTAGTGTTACCGTGAGTCACCGTTGGTGAGCGTGTCCATGTGTTGGTTTTGTTGTGTTGTGTTGCAGGTAAAAGGTGTGGGCTCGTACGCGCGTTTGTTTACATTTTTTATATTAAACATAATATTCAATATTTTTATATTCTTCAGCAATATTGTACACATATTACCAATTAATAATAATTAATATGACTGTTTATCATATATAAAATTAGTGGGGTGCATGCCATCGTGCTTTAAGGCAAATTGCTGGAACTTCCGTTAACCAAAAATTATTATTTTTTTAAAAAGATTATTTTTGAAAAAAATTTACTTCGAAAAAATTAGATTTTTGAGAAACTATAAATTTGACAAAAATTTACTTTTTTAAAATAAAAATTTTTTTTTGAAAAATTTATTTCTTTATTTTGACATATTTTGGAAATTCTGAACTTTTTTTTAAAGCAATCGTACTGCTTTAACTGCATAGACACGAAATGTCAAAGCGCGTAAGCGCCGCGTCGCCGTCTAACGGAAAAAATTGCTACGGAACCCATAGGAATATAAACAAAATTTATAGTTATTGTTAATATCTCTATAAAATATGTAATAATTTGATGTGCATATGTCTAATGATCATTTTTGACCGCCAAATGACTTTTTTTTTTACTTTTTTTACCAGATCTCCTAAACCGCTAGACCTGCCTTCATGAAAATTTGATAAATACTTCATCTTGTCAATACAAGTAAAATGTTTTTTGAATTATTCTAATCGGACGCTCCGTGCTCTTAAAAACTGAGTTACCGTTTCTGGTTCTTTTTGCCCCGTATCTTCGAAACGGCTAGACCTAATTATGCCAAAAACTAATCAGCACTCTCCTTATCAACAGCAATGGGATGTTTTGTGAATAATTGGAATCAATTGAACCGTGTTCTCGAAATCTTTGACGAAAATTTCTATCCGCACACACCCACTAAAACACATGCACACACACACACATACATCCATTTTTTTCTTAGGTATGCCAAACTGTTCAGAAACCTCTAAAACCTCTAAAATATAAAAATTTTCATTTTCCATTTTTTTGCGTTTACTATAACTTACCCTACGGGAAGTTAATTATTATAAATTTTGTAGCATTAAAATGTCCTAATAAGCATATTATAACGTGTGCGGTGAAAATATGGGGTTATCAAATTTTTATTCCTTTCATGGTTTCCAACCTGTGGGGCGCGATTTTTCAGGGGACGCGAGGATGTTACAAGTGGGTCGTACAGCTGTTTCCAAAAAATAAACCAAAACGTTGAAATGATAAAATGAATCTATAAATAATTATTATTTATGTATATATTTTAGGCTTGCACCGAATATTCGGCACCTTTTTTAATATTCGGCCGAATATCGAATAGTGAAAATCAAAGAAGCTCGGCGAAAATATTGTGTGTGTGTTTTATCTTTTATGTAGGCTTGTATTGAATATTCGGCAACTATTCGGCATTCGGCATGTTCGGCGTATTTTTTAATATTTGACCGAATACCGAATAGTTAAAATCTAAGGCGCCGCCGCCGCTCAGCGACAGTAGTGTTGGTGTTTTATCCGATAAAGAGCTCAGAGTGCTCCCGATGGATCTGAATTTGGAAGTGTTTACTTTACATGATATAGTATGAAGAAA